ATTATTATTATTATTATTATTATTATTATTATTATTATTATTATTATTATTATTATTATTATTATTATTATTATTATTATTATTATTATTAATTATCAAATTTCTAAATAATATTGCATTACATTGGAGAAATGAAATCTTTAATTTAAAATTTAATTAAGCGTTATTTCACAGAAATTATTTTAGCATTAAAAATGATGATTGCTTGTGATGAAAAAAAAGAAAAGAGAGATAAAATATGAATTTATCGATTCCAAAATGTTACATGGAAATCATTAACAGTTTGTAATCGAATATAGATATCATCATTTGACTATTATCACATACATTTCATTATCTTATACGAAACATTATTATGTCTAAAGCTTACTTTATATATTTTTTGATCCAGTTGAATATGTAAAATAACAGATTATTACTATGAAATGAACAGTATAGTTATCAATCGAAAGCGTTTTATAGAATAAAATGAAAAAAGGGCTAATAAACTGATAAACGTTGAAGTATTATGAAGCAATTTACCGATGATATTATTTAGCAACCTATTGTGAATATATTACTATTTATCATTACTTCACTATCTATCATCCTTAGTAATACTATTATCAGGTTGATATGAAGCTTGAGAATAATGAATGAAAATGGTGAAAATTCATTTTTGGAAAACGTATATTTGGCAAACGTCACCATCACGAAATAGCGTACACTAACAAACTTGATGGAAATCGATTCGCAATGCAAATAATCAAAATATAATAGAATCAAATCTTCTACTTTTCAACAGAAGAAAGGGCATTGTTTACATATCATAACATTAGTTTATCATATCAGTTTTTCTTTTTTCTCTTCCCTCAACTATGACATAACCTTTCTTCTCATTTCTCATAAAAATGCTTCATTTTAATCATTAATTTAGAAAGTATGGCATATTACAAAATGCAGTATTTGTAAAATTCAATATTTCTATTCGTTATATATTACAAAATTCAGTATTTGTAAAATTCAATATTTCTATTCGTTATATATTACAAAAAGTTCAGTATTTGTAAAATTCAATATTTACTATTCGTTATATATTACAAAA